GGGAGCACTAAACACACACAGAAATGATTAACGTGAGAACACGAACAGCAAATAGTATCCTAGTCTCAATGGTACCCAATAGTCCTAATAGATAAAAGATATGGAGGTAAAAAAACTTTAAAATAATGACTAAAAGGACATAGGGCACCATATTGTAGGAAAACCACAGCAAGCCGTTCAAACAGATCGATAACAAGTTAAAACATTTTAGAGTATGCATGTGGTGGTCAAGTCCATAAACATCATATTTATGGCCATCTTTCGACTGAGGCGTTCCAAAACCACAGACATCAGAAGAGTATTTTGCGTTAGAAGTGGACATAAAACGTCTCAAGCAAAATATTAAAGAATGAAATACAAACAAAAAATAAGTAAACATAATAACAAATATATTAAAAAGGGAATATTGAATTATTATAGATGTTATTGAAGTAAGAATTGAATATGTATTTATTTCTGACTTTAGAGGGTTAAGGTATATTATTTCACGTTTGTTTTAGGGTATATTTTAGTTTTTACCTCCATATCTTATATCTATTAGAACTATTGGGTACCATTGAGACTAGGATACTATTCTCATTGGTTGACCATAGGCTTATATAGTGATAAGATTATCTTAGTTGGTAATCAGTTTGGCTCAGAGGTCGGTGAATGTCATTTTCTATGTGGGGTTTTTGGTATAACTTGTGGTGAAGGTGCTTGCTGTTACTTGATGTCACAGACAGAAAAAAAAATCGAATATTTATAATTTTACGGTTCCCTCCGAACCAACGCATGCAGCATAAAATACAGTCTAATATCAAAATATATATCTCTCTCCCTATCCACATGTATCGAAATTCAATAATTTTATGGTTCGCCCCGAACCAACGCATGCAGCCTAAAATACCATGGCTCCCGTTCACAGCATGCCCGCCATGGATTTTTTCTAAATTGCATTACAATTATAACTTTTTGAAGGTGCTCTGCATTTTAGAGGTCACAGATCCACCTCACAACCGAAACTAAAAAGCAGTCTGACAATATTCAAAACATTATATCTTTCAAAAACCAACTGCTTCTTTGTAATGCTATAGATACAGATACCATGTGGATATTATTACTACGATAGACATTCTTATCCTCAGATAACCTCATAGTTCTTCAAACTCATTGTCATAACCATCTGAATACCTATCCTCCTATAACCCCTAACCATATTACACACCCTATTCGATGTCTACTATAACCTGTCCTCAGATAACCTCATATTTCATCAAACTCATTGTCAGTAACATCTGTGTACCAGATAAAATAATGTTATCCTCGTTTTAACCTTCTCCAAGCCGTACTATACACCTTACTCTATCATGCTATGTCTACTCTAAACTATCCTCAGATAACCTCATACTTCGTCAAACTCATTGCAATAACACCAATAACCTACCTTATTCTATGTCTAGTCTAACCAAATCTGAATTAACGACCGACAAATTTAAATAAAATTAAAGACCTTACCGACTAAGATAATCTTATCACTATATATGCCTATGGTCAACCAATGAGAATAGTATACTGGAAGACCGAGTTGTGAGGTAATAAGCAGCACATAGTATACTAGAAGACTGAGTTGTGAGGTGATAAGCATCACATAGTATACTAGAAGACTGAGTTGTGAGATAATAAGCAGCACATAGTATACTAGAAGACTGAGTTGTGAGGTGATAAGCAGCAAATAGTATACTAGAAGACTGAGTTGTGAGGTGATGAGCAGCACATAGTATACTAGAAGACTGAGTTGTGAGGTGATAAGCAGCACATAGTATACTAGAAGACTGAGTTGTAAGGTGATAAGCAGCAAATAGTATACTAGAAGACTGAGTTGTGAGGTAATAAGCAGCACATAGTATACTAGAGACTGAGTTGTGAGGTGATAAGCAGCACATAGTATACTAGAAGACTGAGTTGTGAGGTGATAAGCAGCACATAGTATACTAGAAGACTGAGTTGTGAGGTAATAAGCAGCACATAGTATACTAGAAGACTGAGTTGTGAGATAATAAGCAGCAAATAGTATACTAAAGACCGAGTTGTGAGGTGATAAGCCATTCTGTGTTGATATAAATGCAAAACATAAATCTCACAGTTACCTTCTAAGATCATACAAAGATGTTAAATGCATGTTAGAGGTTTGCCATAATACGTGGTTTAAGATGAATGAATAGTCTACTTAAAAGTTGATTGCTAGGTTAATACACATTTTAGATCATTATTCATATATCTATAATGGCAAATGATTGCATGTTATGTTACAATAATTTCTGTCAGTTGTGTATTAAACATTGAATTGCAATGTCTATATATATTTTTAATCGAATGATCATGTAAACTCTGTACTATAATTGAAATCTTTACGAAGGGTTAGTCAAAGGAATTTGGTCGTCCTGTATTCTTTGTTACTTAAATATGAAAACTTTCAAACCAACTTGATGATTTATGACTGGAAAATAAAAGATGATAAAAAAAATCTGACAAGCTCTTAAAATCTCTAGTGAATAAGATTTGATGAAGAATCTGAATAAAACTTTACCTAATTTCTCCTGAGATATCAGATCTATATAATCTAGTTTGTCTCCAGCAGGACATTTATGACTAATCAATACTATTGAATCGTACTGAGAACTTCAATTTGACATGCATCAGCATCAAAACCAAACTGCTAAGTAACAAAAATAAAACGGAAATTAAAATAGGATTGAAGTTAATATGTGGGTCACGTTAATTTTGCTGTCAACAAATTGCAACTTGTCGTGATGCAAAGGTTGTCTTTTGAGGGTGGACTAGCAATTTGACTTCTTATGTACCTTCATCTGATTCGGTCCATTAGTTTTATAACAAAGAGAGACCTAAGCTGTTGGTTGTTTGACAACATTCACCCAGACTAAATTTGTTTAGTTTTTAGTCATCGTTGAAGTACTAATAATATTTTTTCTCTAAATTCTCCAGCTTTTGTTTAACTGTTTCATCCATATAAATTGCATTATGTTAAATTAGTTATTGTATTAAAAATATATATTTAAAATTTACATGTCATGGAATCATTACAATTTTCATTCACGCATTAACGTAAATACCGTAATTGGGAAAAGATGATGGTTATACATGCTTTTTGACAGGAGCGCTTCGGTGGCTTTAATGTGTTAAGTTGTTGGAAGGTTTGGATATAATTATCAAAAGCAACATAGATAAACAAAAACAAAAAAAAAACTTCAGCAAAATGATAATAAAAAAAAACAGAAAAAGCGAAACCGCTGGTAACAAGATGATTTTGAAGTATTTGGCGCAAAAGATATATCGTCGTAAAAGTCCACTAGTTTACATTTTAAACCCAAGAATACTTTGAGAAATTTATAATGCAAAACTAGATATCTCTTTAGTTATCCTTTAAAATGTTGTCTTTCGAAAGATTGATTTCTTATTTGATGAAAAGAACAAAAATAATTTGTGGGTGGTCCAGTATGTCGGACAATAACAATGATGACCAAACTAAAACCTACAGCATCTACGTACACAGTTGTTTTCTATTAATTTGATACCTATATTTAATGCATCACTAATGAAATGTTTTTTTCCCGTTGATGTGTGTAATGTTTTATATTGGTGCCCAGCTGCTTTAACTGATTTTATGCTGCATGTGGTTAATACTTATAGTTTGTCTCAGATAATGCAAACATTCTGTATACTGTATGTTACCATTCTTTCATCTACATTGAATTTGTATTACTATTCTTTTCAGTTTTTATATAAAATTTATCTTTTCCACGATTGTGCCATCACCGAACGAGACTTGACACCGAATCTGTACTTACAATGAGCAACAGAACGGTTTCACGTGTGGTGCAGGATTTTACCCTTCCGGTACACCCGCACATCCCGGTTTTTGGTGGGTTCGTGTTTCTCAGTCTAATAATTTAAGTTTTTTAAGGTAGTGTTTTGAATGTTGTTTGTCTTGCCATGATTTTGTCGGCCTCTCTTCGACTTATACGTTTTATCAGTCCCGTTTGTATTATTCGCTCTATCATAAATATAAAAACGCGAAAAAATGAAAAAATGAAAGAATTATCTCCCAATGCGACATAATAATAATTTATCGTCACATATTTAAGCATTCATCTGGCGAATTTGTACTGTAAAGGTATAAAACTGTTCTATAAATTTTGATCAATTATGCACAAATCTGTATAGATACTGGTAGAAACAACAAGTGTAACTTGAAATAACCCTCTTTTTACACATTTGATACATCGCCTTTCTGTGTTAAAGTGAAACAAATTGAATTATCGTTAACTATAAAGTTGATTAAATTTTGCGTTTAGGAAATGTATTTTTCCATCATATTCAGCATTCTGAACACGCTGACTGTCAAAAGAAATCCGAGTGTTATTATACAGCTGATAGATTTATCAATAAAAAAAATATCAAAATTTTCTATAGCTCAATTTGAACAAAATGAAGACAGTTTCAGACATTTCATGCTGCCAGAGTAAATACAATTCGTCTTTTGGAAGGGAAACATCTATACAAGATATGAATTTTCAAGAGTAAACATTATATCATCACGATTGATTAAAAAAGTGCTTAATCTGTTTCAGACAAAGGTCACAGGAATGAACTTTGTTGGAGTGAAAGTAAATTGTATGCATTCTAATTTTTCTGGTTCAAAAGTGTACAATACTAACCATCTGTATAAATAACAGCCACATATGTCCGAGCGAACAATACTTACCATCTGTATAGATAGTGGCTACATATGTCCGAGCGAACAATACTAACCATCTGTATAAATAACAGCTACATATGTCCGAGCGAACAATACTTACCATCTGTATAGATAGTGGCTACATATGTCCGAGCGAACAATACTTACCATCTGTATAAATAACAGCTACATATGTCCGAGCGAACAATACTTACCATCTGTATAGATAGCGGCTACATATGTCCAAGCGAACAATACTTACCATCTGTATAAATAGCGGCTACATATGTCCAGTTAAATTTCAAGACGATATCTAACATGGCCTGTGCTTGGTAATTATCAGATGGCACAACTCGCTGAAAATATTCGTACAGGTTCTTACTACTTAACTCCATACTCGTAGCTGAATAGCCAATTTGTGGAATTTCGAACAGTTGCAATAAATTTTGTACCTGAATTGTATTAGAACTAGATCCTGGACCTAACAGTCCAGCTATAGGTTTGTCTGAATCCACAGCACAACGGTCTCTGGTTGTAAAATTTGTTTCTAAAGAATCTATGCTTGCTATAGAATCTTTGATAAAGTCTATACTTTGTTCTAACGCAATAGGTGAGTACCAACACGAGTCCCGTATATCATAACCCAAATGTACACCCGGTAAAATAGTTGAATCGTTGTTGATTTTTTCGAGTGTTGTTAGAAACATTTCTATTCGATGTATTCCGTACTGTTCCCAAATTTCTGCACATTTTCTGGTATAAACACGTGTATCATGAGGAGCTTTATGTACAGGGAACAATGCTCCAATAATGATATCCCCGTCCTGGCGGGCTTTTTGGTGATCACCTACATTGCAAAATGATACATGAACATGAATGCAAACTAACAAAAACTTATAATATTTACGAAATAAAATATAAATTTCCATTTCAATAGTTTGTGATATTGAAGAAACCACTTTATCATGGGTACACAAAATCAAACACTTTCTTCGTTAAATGTTCTAGTATCTCACATAAATTTTCAAACCATAATTAAACATCTGTTCTCCACGTTGTGAAATTCTTGTTATTATAACAAAATAGTACACTCATATGTAGCAAGTTTTTAAAGGATATTTAAGTGATTTCCGTTTTCCGTTTCAACAGTAGTTTGTCTATTTTGATAATAAATTCCCAATAGTTACAAGATAGAAGGTCGATATGTTTTAACACCTGTCCAACATGAATGACATTACTGCTAAAGAATTCCGCTGTCCCGCGGGACAGTCACATTTACCAATACGCGATCAAAGAGTAATCCTACACAGAGCTACTGCTAACCAATAGATAAAGACAATCGATTCTATCCTCCACTTTTATTTACATGGGTATATTTACTTGAAGGAAATACAATTTGCAACCATCTGCCAATAAATGCCGATAGAAAATAAATATTTTGAATTATTTTTAAATCACTTTCTCCTTCTACTGGAAGCAATCAGTAAGTATGTCTATAAATGTAGAAAAGTATAGGAAAACAGTGTTTTGTAATTTATTATTTATATTCTGTAATCGGAAAACAATTGATTTTGATATTATTGGAAACAAAATATTGTTTCTACCTGATATTATATTGTCAGATAAAAACGCATAAATTGACGTTTATAATCTGAATTGGTTTGAATAAACGGAGATGTGGGGTATGTTTCAATAAGGTAGCATTCCAAAAACACAAAACGGCATATGAAGGCCTACGAGTAGACTTGAACAATATACAAATATTAAGTTGTAAACATATAGTATACATAAGTTGTGGACAAATTAAAGATATTGCTTTCGACACCAAATTCCTTAAAAAACAAAACACCTTAAAGATATAATTAAATACGACCATTGACAAGTGTTTGACTAGAGACAGATACAAAAATGTACGAGGTATAATTCTGTAGAATGTCAGCCACTCGACAAAATCGGATTCTTTTGCCACATTATGACTGGCTATTATTTGTGTATGTACTCGCTCGTATTACATACATGTGTTTGTATATTTGCAGATGATGAAAGTTTCAGTACATTTGACAAACTTTTGTATAAGGAAACGGCCATTTAACTTTGAGGTGGGAGGGGGTATGTTTTTTTTTAATATTCACAAAAAAAAATCGTTTATTTTGTTGTTCTTCGAAGCGCATTTTTTTAAAGAACATAACAATTAACATTAAATTTAATGGCAAAAACTTCAGGTAACCTTGGATCCACACCTGTTCAAGACAATTGTCATTTTACAAAATATTAAAAACTGTTAAATTTACAGTCCAAACTATCGTAAAAAGATAATTATATCGTTAGTTCAATTCAAACATGCTTATATCGTTCTACCCAATAAAAACACAATTCATAGCGTTCGATAACTTTTGTGACATTTTCCCATTAATCTAACTTATAAACATTACACAATGTGATACCTGATCGAGTTTTTACGAAATTAGTCTGAAACAGACATTGGAAAGTTAAAAATTACTTTATAAGGCTTGAGAAAATATATACATGTTTTCTTCCAGTTTTATTGATGAGGAAGTAATATGATATAATGCCGTACATAACCAAGAAAAACGACAATCATTTTAAAACATCAGCGCTTTCAAGATGCGTATTCAGAAAATAATACTAAAGGGTTAAAACTTAAAACCACACAGTTAATCATCTGTCTGTAAGCCAAGTATGTGAACAAAATATATTACAAATAAAGAAATAAAGAACAGAAGGTAGCAAATATTAAACTTGTAAAAACACGCAACAAAGAAAAACATAAAAAAGTATGTATCGGCGTTTTAGTCATATTCAGACAATTACGTAGACATGGTATACTGTATTTAGAAGCATATAACAGGCTTTCTAAAAGAGAGTTACTAAAACATGTAAAACACCTAGAAAATACTAAAACATAAAGAGGCATACTGACATTTATACTATTCAAATAACGAGTTCCAATTTGTTAGCCGACATGACGTAAAAACGACGAATCAAAGAATTCAACTTTATATATAACTAATATAGGACAATGGCGTAGAAGATTAAAAATTACACCATTCCAGGCCCTTTTGTTTTCCACATATAATTAACAAGTTCCGGGTCGAATCCGATACCGATACCAATAGTATATGTCGCGTGGAGTTTCCGGTTGTAGTGTATGTATGTATGTATCTTCCTCCTTTAATAGGAGCGCTACCATGGGTTATAGTGTTAAGGAGGACATTTAACACACTGTATCGGTACTGATTTAATGTGAGCATTTGCCTACCCAGTTTCCCAGCCTAGTCGTGACGGGTCTTACTACCAGAAAGTTAACCTTCCCCCAAATTAATAAGTACAATGCAATAAAACATACGAATATACACTCACCTGATTTGCTCATCCTCAAAATATTAAAAATGCAAAATATAAAAACAAGCAAGAAAACCAGGACGGGTTCAAACAAAAAGATTTTGAAAGCAGAGAAAACTGTGCACCTTATAGTCAGCATGACTTTATCAGATGACAATACGAATACTAAAAATCCGTGCTAAGAATTAGGCGTAGGTACTTAAATTCAGCCACGGACCCGCAATGTCGCGGGTGTGTTCTAGTAATCAATAAAAAAAAGAACTTATAAAAACATGCAACACCATCAATACAGAGTACGATATCAGTCACGCATATACGATTTGGAACATCTACAAAATAGACCATACTACCAAGAAGTGAGTGGACCAGATAACATCAGTGGTAGGGTTTAAAGGACACAGCTGATATCAGCATTTTCACCAAATCGTGAGAAACTGGTCAAACACCAAAAGACTGCAAATATAGCACCAGCATTAAAAGGGTAAATATTTAAAGGGCTAACAATTGTAGACCTATGTCTTTAACCTGTATCTGCTGCGAATTATATAAAGATAAACAACAGCGTAAACATAATACATCAAGCGTAAATAAATCTCAAGGCTTTCTTTAAAAAAACCTTAATATTTCAAACAGCTAAATGAAATCACATGAGAATAAATCCATCGAAAGAACAAAACTTGAATATACAGGTAGTTGCAGTCTATTGGATCCACATATAACAAAACACATTAACAAACTTGTAATGGTACAGAGGCGTGCTGTCCGTTATGTATGCATCATCTGCCATAAAACCAGTAGTGTAACATCTATGATAAACAAACTAGAATGGCAAACTTTTGCAGAGCGCCACCTAAAACCAGACTTATAATGTTCTACAAAGATGTTCACAGACTAATTGCAATTCCATCGCTAGCACTAATTCCAGCAAACACTCACTAGATTAAGAAAAATACACAACGAATGATTTCAGCAAAGCTCTACAACAAAAGAAAGTTACAACTGGTAATTTTCTCATTCAATTGTAAAGTGGAACATGCTACCACAAGTTCTTGCATGTTCAACAATTTATCCATTTATCCTTCAGAGAACATCAAAATATCAATGAAGATAGTTTAAATAACTTATTTTCTAGATCTTGATCATATATATATCCAGAACACAAATAAATTTAAAAAAAATAAATCATAAGCTTGGCACTTTTTCTCTAGTGTGTGTGTGTGTGTGTGTGTGTGTGTGTGAGAGAGAGAGAGAGAGAGAGAGAGAGAGAGAGAGCATTGGCGTACAATCGCCAAAAGAAAAAAGAGGACCTACAACATGACAAAAAAAGACGGACAACACGATGATCAAAAGAAAAAAGAGGGCCTACAACATGACCAAAAGAAAAAAGACGGACAACACCATGACCAAAAGAAAAAAGAAGGAAAACACCATGACCAAAAGAAAAAAGACGGACAACACCATGATCAAAAGAAAAAAAAAACAACACCATGTGTGTGTGTGAGAGAGAGAGAGAGAGAGAGAGAGAGAGAGAGAGAGAGAGAGACAGGGAGAGAGAGAGCATTGGCGTACAATCGCCAAAAGAAAAAAGAGGACCTACAACATGACAAAAAAAGACGGACAACACGATGATCAAAAGAAAAAAGAGGGCCTACAACATGACCAAAAGAAAAAAGACGGACAACACCATGACCAAAAGAAAAAAGAAGGAAAACACCATGACCAAAAGAAAAAAGACGGACAACACCATGATCAAAAGAAAAAAAAAACAACACCATGACCAAAAGAAAAAGATAGACAGCACCATGACCAAAAGAAAAAAATAATGGAATACACCATGACCCAAAGAAAAAAGACGGACAACACCATGACCAAAAGAAAAAAGACGGACAACACCATGACCAAAATTTTTGACAATAAAAAATGAAAAAATTGAATGTAGGTATATATACTATATATAACATCATTATTGTACAGCGTGATTCATTAGCTTTGTTCAGAATTAAGGGCATACGATACAGTTACAGGGGAGGTGATGATGTCGCTAACGTAAAATGTTATTTTTCGCGACGTCAAACTGTGACAAAGCGAGAAATGATCCATTTTTCGACTGATTTAAGTTGAAAACGAGTTCATGGACCCATCTTTTTAAAAATGCCATTTGGCTTGATTAGATACGAAGATTATTTGTGCCAATTTCTATGAACAAATCACCAATGAATTTTTTTTGAATTAGATAAATATACAGCCAAAAATGCCAGTTTGTTTTACTAAAATCATGAAAATGTGATAAAATGAATTATTTGCAAAGAATTTTTACACAAATTCTAAACATGCTTATGTAGAGAAAATATTCCAGATGTTTTTAGAAAAATCCGCTTGCGTTTATCTTTTAAAACAAAAAGTTAGGTATGTCTTTTCAAACGATAGAAATGTCAAAGAAACCGAATTGTCCAGTAAATTTCTAAAATTTCTGCCCCATTTATCTCGAAAAGTAGGACATGAAGGTATATTTTTTATTACATATTTGAATTGACTAGGTGGAAAACAGCTTGTATGCAAACTTTCGTCAAAAATTCACCGTGGGATCAAAACTGTATCGTATGCCCTAAAAGCGAGAAGTCCCAATTATCGTGCTGAAAACAAGAAATCAAAACATGCATTTACAAGAAAAAAAAATTGAAGACAAGTCGAAATTTAAAAGCATAATTATATCTAATAATTGCGGTTTCTACATTATTTACTTTTTCTGAAGATCTTTGTCAATAGTCCATTTTCC